ACAATAAAACCTACGCTTCTATCTACGGTATGTACAGGAAGGAAGATGCAGCTCCACAGTGCAGAAGGCACAGAGTCGGCTTAATACTTGCGTGTAAGCGCTGCTAACATGACGGGAAGGAGAACAAAGTGTAACGGCAGCATTATATTGGATGCGTTTTGTATAATAAAAAATAAAAGCATGACTCTGCGGCTCTTGATGGTGATATAGTGAATTAAAAGTACAACTTTAAGCAGCTGCTTAAAAGTTTTCTAAATGTACACTTGGCATGTGTTGCTTCTTGTAGCTCACAGAAGAGATGAAACTAACCTTTAAGTTTATGTTGCCTGCGTGTTTTACAATATGTGGAAGTAGGCCTGTCGCGATAAACAATAAATCAATTAATCGCATGATAAATGAAAATTATCAAACTCTTTCATTTATCAGCTTTATCGTTTCTTCGTGTCTCTTTTTACTGAAGACACTGGACGACAAAAAGCTCAACTCCCGTGCTCTTCACTGACCCCTCACTTTCTCTTTAAAATCCATTTCAACCGTCCAGAACTGCGTTTTTAGGGGCATTAAAAGCAGCTGAGAAGCTAAGCTACGAGCTAAGCTAACAGGCCGACCTCGGGAAAAACCTCGAAGCTCCAAAATTCACGGTTGAAACCCGTGCCTTCGTGTAAAAAGTTGTTTTTCTCCGCAAAAAGAAGCTGAGAACTTTACTGATGTTTTCATTAAAAGCTTTGTGTGAAAAATGCTATGCGAAAGAGCTCAAGCCACACCGAGCGTCCGCCATTTTGAGAACCAAAGAGACAGCCCATGTCACGTCAAGGGGCCTCCCTCACATTTTTCTTAAAGAGACACACTGCTCGATCCCTCACTATCCATCCTTTATTTCAGTCATACTGTGGTCAAAAAAGGTACAAGCAAAACAAATTAAACATTTCTTCTTAAATTTGACAATTACTAATTATTGTCAAATTTCAAACAATATTATCATTTATCGCAATAATTTATGAGACAATTAATCGCCCAGCAAAATTTGTTATCGTGACAGGCCTATGCGGAAGTCAAATGAAGCCGGACAGCGTTAAGGCAATTTGCTGTTAATGAGGCAATTATGTAACAGAAATTGACACGAGGATGATACAAAGCAGATATATGCAGGTGAAGGATAACTATGACAGTTTGGCAATAACATGGCATGCTCCAATCACGTCTTCAACATTTTACTCAAACACACCGCCAGTCACTCAAAATTTCCAAAAAATCAAAAAAGCTGCCAATGTCAAATCAAAATTTGTGAAATCAAAAACAGGTGAAGAAAAAAAGCAACAGATTTGTGTTTAAATGCAAAACACATCACAATTAGGAAGACTTATCTACTAGTATCACTCAGATCAAACAGAAACTCTTACTCATCAACTTGCACACAAATAAACGCAATAAATGCAGATTTGATACAGGATTTTTTTTTTTTTTTTTTTTACAACAAAAAGATAAATCTTATAACGTGAAAACCTCTCAAACAAAAACACAATTCAAGTAAAGCCTTTTAAACAAACAACAAAACAACAAAAAAAAAACAGCTTCAAATCACTTGGAATTCTTGCATCTTCGATTCAGATTATGCTGTTCATAAAAAAGTACATTCAACAGGTACATTAAATATGGAACAAAATTATAGTACAGAGGTAAGTAAAAGTAATCATTGGGGGGAAGAAAAAAAAATCATACTTATAACAAGACGACACCCAAAAAGACGGTTTCGTTCTATGATTCTCCTTCAATGAAACTGGGAAAACGACAGAATTATTTCCTATTTTAGAACAAATGCTCGTTCAGCGAGCTTCATCCCAACACAACAAGAACAATAAACAAGAGGTTTGACAGAAGAACACACTCGAACAAGAGCGTCCGTCTACAGCCGCCTACAAACATCTCATTCATTCACAAAAACGAGTTTGCACACAGGATCCAACTGAACGGATAAATTAGTTGGCATCACCGCAGCTCGTTGGAACAACGCTTCATTTATTGTGAAAAGTAATTTAGTTTAAAGCAGCTGTCTAATCTACGTGCTTTTATGACGCGATGAAGTAAACAGAAATTAAAACGTTATAGAAATGATTTACCGTAATGCATATTTTACGAAGATATACTAAAATAGTAGATTTGTTGGTGCCCTAACAGAGACGATTAATCTTTGTACGAGTATCACAAGCATCTTCTTGCTTTTCATCATTCAGCCTATTTAAAGAGAACAACCATTGAGTGGTCCGATATGGTAGCGTTGACCACACTGAGCACGGAGCAGAGAAAACAAAAGGTTTGAGCCGTCTACAGAGCTCAGGAAGAAGATTAGAGGGATCCATGTTCAAGGTAAAGGATACGAGACCATCTCAAAGCTGCTTCGTGCTCCTCTGACCACAGCTGATATCTTTAGTAAAAAGCAGGAAGTTCGTGGGACTGTAGCCAATCTTCCAGAATGTGAGCGCAAGAGGAAATGCGACCCCTGTTTGATCAGACAGACAATGGGAAAACCCTTCTAGCTTAACTTTATGGTCAAGGAACAACACAGTGATCGCACCATTCACCACATTCTGAGTCATAACGAGGCTCCATTATAGACAGAAAAACAACATGCTGAGAAGAACAAGTTTCTGGGACTGATGAGACAAAGCACATTTTTTAAACCCTAAAATATCAGCTGAATTTTTATATTTTTAATTATTGTGGAAGGGTACCAAAACAATTTACACCGGTATCTAAAATTAGATCTATACACGTCAACAAATCCAATATTTTCATTGATGCTTCCCCACCGAGAAGATCTCCGGCGTCAAGCGGTTTGTTTTGTAACTGCAATAATAACGATTTTAATTTTTTAACAGCACTAGTTATTATAATTTTATTCATTTTCCACATGGAGACCAGCTAATTAAATAAATTCAAATGGTTTCCATGTGGGGCAGCACGGTGGCGCAACTGGTAGAGCTGCTGCCTCTCAGCGAGCAGGTCCCTGGTTCAAACCCCGGTCCAGGGGCCTTTCTGGGTGGAGTTTGCATGTTCTCTCCGTGCATGCGTGGGTTTTCTCCGGGTACTCCGGTTTCCTCCCACAGTCCAAAAACATGCATGTTAGGCTGATTGGTAACTCTAAATTGTCCCTAGGTGTGAGTGAGAGAGTGAATGTTTGTTTGTCTCGTTTGTCTCTGTGTGTCCCTGTGATGGACTTGCGACCCGTCCAGGGTGTACCCCGCCCCTCGCACAGTGATTGCTGGACATGGGCACCAGCAACCCCCGTGACCCAAAATGGAATAAGCGGGAAAAGATAATGGATGGATGGATGGGTTTCCATGTGATCTTGGACAAAAAAAAAGTGCACAAATCTGAAGGTGTAAGGATCCACACACCCCGGCATATGAACACTGGATAAGAGAAGTTATGTGTCGTATTCATTCAGAAAAGATTAGATACTCTGAACAGATCTGTTGAGAGATTTGAGGACATTTAGCAGCCATTTGTATCTTATACTGAAGGTATGTCAGGGCCTGTTTAATGTGTGCATTTCTGTGTAGCTGATCCGGTATAGGAGGGGTAGGGTGGGTTTTTGTGTGTGTGTATTGTTAAATACAAAATCAATTAAAAAAAAAGAGTGATTTAAAAAAAAAAGATATGAAGATGCACTAACAATGCTAACACAAAGATGTGCAAGATAAACATTTCACTAAAACATAAGCTTAGTTTAAAAAAATCTTTCCAGTGTCTAATAATTAGTTTGGCAAAGATAATGATTTATATATTTTTTTTATATAGATTTGTTGCAATTATATTTAGGTTTTGATTATTTTATGGCCACTGTCGTGTATGGGTATTCAGTTGGTTGCTATTTATAATTTGTGCCACTAGGTGTCACTACATACAACACTGCAGCTGTTTATTATATCAAGACAAGAAACGTAGCATTTTAAACAAGAGGCTCATCAAAGTGGAGGACTAAAAGGTAAATTTGGAATAAAGGTGGATAAACCGGACAGTAACCTCCCTTCAGATTAAGCACGACCAAGGCAGGATTTTCTATCATCCAACTGCAGCCAAGAAGAAATCAGTTAAAACGAGACGGACGTTGAAGCTGTTGACGAGGGTAAAATTAAAAGACAAAACATTTCTTCTGGGTGAAATCCACTCACCTCAAACCGCAGGGAGAAAATATGAAGCTTATTTAGGGTGCCATTAAAATGCAAATTCACAGAACAGTATAGAGACGACGGGGCTCATTTCTCATACGTCACCGCGTAATTAATATTCCGCTCCACTTTTATAACAGGAGATGGACAGAATGTAACACGGGATTTTAATCAGTCAACCAATGGCGCAAAACCTGAAGAGACTGTGATGTCAACGCCCCGACCAGGCAACAACATAATTTAACCAAAAGACGCGACTCGAGCGCCAACATCTACCGCTGTGTTTAGAGACTTTCCATCATAGGAGGTCAAACTATTCGTTAAGAGTTGTGTCCTGTACCTCATCTGTGTTTGTCATTAAAAACAAGTCTCTCTTGTAAAAGAGTCCTCATGACTCAATGAGACTAACCTGTATAAATAAAGGTTGAATGATTGAAAAAAAAAAGGTAGGGTTTTAGATACCCTAATGCTTAAAACTGGATAATACATCTGTCTAAAATGGCAGAAAAATGAACTGACATGACACTGAAAGATTCTGGGGGAAAAATAAATCACCGTCTAGTTGTTGGATGTAGACGTACTCCTTCTGGGATGGCACACGGTGGAAATCGGGCAAAACAAAAGCAAATGAGACCAAAACAACAAAAGAGGTCTTACACAGAAACTAAAAAGTTCCAACAAATATTTACACCACAGATACAGGCACTTGTATATCTTTGGTTGGAGAAACCCAACATTGCGAGAGTAATGCATTCAGAGCTGTTTGTGTCCCTTATTGTACTTCCAGGGTTCACGAGGCAACTGGGATGTGTATTTTTTTTAATTTCCTCCCATTTATTTTGAGTCCGTACTACAGATAACCTCTGGCAGAGCTCTCGGACGTCTTTTTAACCCTCTGACAACGCCACCTGAAACACAAGAAGTTAGCTTTAGACTCATTCTTCATATACATGCATATGCAATGTGTTCATTAAAACGTATAGGATTGAGGAATCATTCATTTAGGTTAAAGAGGGTTGTTACAATGGAGAGAAATATGAGGAAAACACCAAACAGAAATGCTCTTAATGATAACATCTAGTAGAGGTTTTGCGCTGCATCAGAACTGCGATGATGCTGTCTGTTAAACTGTGCATCAAGTTATATAATCAGGTTTCGTGTCTGAGAAGAGACCGAGCTGGATGGAGTGAGCCCTCAAGTCCAAAACAAACCAGCAGATTTTAAACAGGTCTGAGGTCAACGTGGCCACAAACACTGACGCTCTGCTTTGTTTGGTTAGCTCGTCTCTGGAACAGAGCAAGTGTCCTTTTTATCTTTTGGCAACTCTTACTCACACAGTGTGACCTGCACACAGCCACATTTATAGAGAGAAACTTTTCAGTGGTGGATAGGCCTGTCGCCATAAACAATACAACAATTAATCGCGTGATAAATGAAAATTATCGATCTCATTTTCATTTATCAGCTTTATCATTCCTTCGTCTCTCTCGTTCTACCGAAGACACTGGATGACAAAAGGCTCAACTCCGGTGCGCTTCACTGACCCCTCCCTTTCTCATTTCTCGTTAAATTCTGTTTTAACGATCCAAAATCGCGTTTTTGGATCGTTAAAAGCAGCTAAGCTGAGAAGCTAAGCTACGAGCTAAGCTAACAGGCCGATCTCGGGAAAAACCTCCGTCTTGTCGAAGCTCCAAAATCCACGGTTGAAACCCGTGCCTTTGCCTAAAAAGTTGTTTTTTTTCTGCAAAAAGAAGCTGAGAACTTGTTTACTGATTTTTTTTTATTTATTAAAAGCTTTGTGTGAAAAATGCTATGCTAAAGAGCTCAAGCCACACCGAGAGTCCGCCATTTTGAGAACCGAAGAGAGACAGCCCATGTCACGTCAAGGGGCCTCCCTCTCTTTACTTTACTTTGTCTCTTTACTTAGCGACGCGCTGCTCGCTCCCTCACTATCCATCCTTCAATTCAAATAGTCTTATAATGCCATCCGGTGGTCAAAAAATGTACTACACGCAAAACAAATTAAACATTTCTCCTTAAATTTGACAATAATTACTAATTATTGTCAAATTTCAAACAATATTATCGTTTATCGCAATATTTCCTGAGACAATTAATCGCCCAGCAAAATTTGTTATCATGACAGGCCTAATGGTGGGTCTTAATGTAGCTTAAAATTTCGTCACATCTACCGATATGTTAAAAAAATACATTTACGTACTAATATTTTATCTTTAATAAAACATTTAACAGGATTCTCACACAATTCACGTTTTGAAACTCCACATCTTTTTAAAATGTTCTGACATTTCTGCCTGTTTTAAGCATCAAAACATCTTTAGTTTACTCTGAGTGTTTACACAGCGGTGGTTTTATTCATCTTGTGGTTCACACACTATAAAAAAAAAAAAGATGATCATTTAGTAAAACTCAGTTCTCTTACAGTGAAGAAAACCGTTTTGGGCTTAGCTCTTTGTGGCTGAATATATATAACAAATGGTAAATCTGCAGTTTTACAGCCATACGTATAATTCAAAGTGCTCCTACTGGATACAACTTGGGGTTCATAGCCTCGTCTGATTAGCATAAAAAACGGGGCTGTGGACTCTAAACCTTATTGTAAGAAATCCAACAATCTAATCATCATTAGAGTGGACGGCTTTAACAAGTCCACAACAAATCACGTTTTTCCCCCTTTCATTTTTAAAGATGACGGAAATCCGTCACGGTGACGGAGAACTTTAAACCGTCTATTTCACTTGGTTGTCCATTGGATAACCTCGAGACGAGATCTGAGACGAAAAAGTTGTCTTGGACAACTGGAAACCGCTAATGTCGACGCCTGCGAAGTCCATTTGTTGCCAAAGATTTACAACTTACAACCTTCAGCGTGTTTTAGATAATTAGGTTGAATTTCAGCTCCAAATATTTGCCAGACTTGTTCTTTTTCATAAATTTTCAAGTTCAAACAAGAACGATCAAATGGATTTTTCCCTGTTCAATAAAAAGTAAAATATTTGTGAAATCTGTTTTTTTTTTTTTTTCAAATAACAGTCAATAAAAAGCAAATAAACAGTTTTAATTTACAGTAAACAGATATTAAGGGTTGTATGAAACTGCACTGAATAAAACCTACCGGTAATTCTCTTAAAAAAACATGTCCCTGAATGTTACTGCTTGTAAATATTCATCACCTTATTTTATAAGGAGATAAAAACCACTAACGTCACACGACCTCACACACACGGCACACAGTACCAGACCGTAAGCATCAGATGCAGAAGATCAGCTTCACAACAAAACCCTCCAAAGAGTTTAAGGTTCATCAGTGGAGTTAACATCTCCAGCTATTCTGACTTTTACAACACAGACATAAAGCAGAAGATGTCAGAGAGAAAAGACCAGGTGTACAGTCGAGGCCAAAAGTTTTGAGAATGGCACAAATTTAGGTTTTCAGTTTGCTGCCTCAGTTTTTATGGTGGCCGTTTGTAATAACTCTAGATTGTGAAGAGGGATCAGATGAGCTGCTGCTTGTTAGATCCCAATCAACCATTTATCAAATCATCAAGAACTTCAAGGAGAGTGGTTCATCGCAGTGAAGAAAGCTTCAGAGCACGATCTCAGAACATGTAGCTACGAGATCGGATCACCACCAGCGCAGAGCGTGCTCAGGAATGAGCATCTGAACGCACGGTGAGACGAAGGCTTTTGAAGGATGACTCCAAGAAGCCACTTCTCTCCAAGAAAACACTCTGCAGGAAGTATAGGGGGGTATACTGCAGAGGACTGGGGTGAAGTTGTTTTCTCTGATGAAGCCCGTCCAGAATGTTTGGGCCATCTGGAAAAATGATTATCATGAGTCCTGTGTCATGGCAGCAGCGAAGCATCACGAGACACATGCGTAGGGTTGCTTCTCATCCAGGGGGGTCGACTCGCTCAAACCTTTACCTAAGACCACCGTCATAAACATGGAACAGTATCAAAACATCCTCCAAGAGCAACTTCTCCAACGATCCAGAAGAAATGTGGAGATAAACAATATTTTTTCCAGCATAATGGAAAACCATGTCACGAGGCAAATGTGATAAAGTGGCTCAGTGAAGAAAACATTGAAATTTTGGGTCCATGGCCAGGAAACTCCCCAGAACCTGTGGTGAATCCTCAAAAAGAGGGTGGGCAAAAAAACAGAAGCTCTGATCAACTCAAGCACTGATTAGGCAAGAATGTGTTGCCATCGATCAAGATTTTTCCCAGGAGCTGATATCCAGCAAGTTGAGGCGAAGTGCAGAAGTCTTAAAGAAGAAGAGTCAACACTGTAAATGTTGTCTTTGTTTCAACTAGATGTACTTAGGCCTGTCGCGATCAACATATCAATTAATCGCATGATAAATGAAAATTATCTACCTCATTTTCATTTATCAGCTTTATCGTTTCTTCGTGTCTCTTTCTACTGAAGACACTGGATGACAAAAGGCTCAACTCCGGTGCTCTTCACTGACCCCGCCCTTTCTCTTTAAAATCCATTTTAACCGTTCAAAATCGAGGTTTTTATCGTTAAAAGCAGCTAAGTTGAGAAGCTAAGCCAAGAGCTAAGCTAACAGACCGACCTCAGGGAAATAAACCTCCGTCTTGTCGAAGCTCCAAAATTCACGGATGAACACCGTGACTTCGTGTAAAAAAATGTTTTTCTCTGGAAAAAAAAGCTGAGAACTTGTTTAATGATTTTTTATTAAAAGCTTTGTGTAAGAAATGCTATGCTAAAGAGCTCAAACCACACCGAGCGTCTGCCATTTTGAGAACCGAAGAGAGACAGCCCATTGTCAAGGGGCCTCCCTCCCATTTTTCTTAAAAAGACACGCTGCTCGCTCCCTCACTATCCATCCTTCGGTTCAAACAGTCTTATACTGGTGGTCGAACAAAGGTACTACAAGCAAAACAAATTAACCAACATTTCTTCTTTAATTTGACAATAATTACTAATTACTGTCAAATTTCAAACAATATTATCGTTTATTGCAATAATTTCTGAGACAATTAATCGCCCAGCAAAATTTCTTATCGTGACAGGCAGATGTATTTAAATAAAAAGTAAAAAAAAAAAACAAAAACGTCTGAAATGCTTATAGTTGTAATTCAATATATCGTATAAACATCTGACAAAAGGTTCTAAATAAAAACGAGGCTGCAAACTTTGTGAAAACCAAAATTTGTCCCATTCTCGAAATGTTTGGCCACGACTGTAGGTGTGAAATACTTTAGACAATCAGAAGAAAATCAGAGGTGTGATTGGAGTTGGTGTCTTAGACCGATCACTGGTCAACTGATGCTTGGCTGAAACTACCTGTCGAGCTCATAAAGCACTGCTGGTGTCTGTTGTACCTTCTCAGGGCAAAAGTCAGGGTTGGTTTGTCGCACTTTGCCAGGCCGCCCCTTTATGACTGCGTAGCAGAACATAGTGATGACCATGACAAACAGGAAGTAGCTAGTGTGCATCAGGTGAAGGTTGATGAGGGAGCGGTCGTCCTGAGGAAGCAAAAAGAGTTTAACATCATTAATTTAAAACTCTCAACTCCAAAGATTCATGTTTGGTTTACGAGGACTTGAGTTACGTCGGTGCCGACAGGTGGGAGGGTGGTGCGCACGGTTCTGTTGACGGGGCGCACGGTTCTGTTGACGGGGCGGGACGCCCCGCTTGTATAATGGTAGGGGAAACACTGATCTATAGAGTTCAGACCTATGATTTTAGCAGCTCGGTGTCACTTTACACTGCTGCTGACCCTGCAAGGTCATCCACGTGCAGTTATTATGATCTCTCCCTCTGCTACACCAAAACAGTTTGTTGACCCAAAACATTTTATTCATATTGTTTAAAGGTTAGAGGTGCATGCAACTCTTTCAACTCTGCTGCTACAAAAGGTCATTCCTGCTAAGGTTCAGACTTTCTACAGCCACTGTTTACCTTCAGATTTTCCTGTAAATGGCACATCTTCTCCTTAGATATAAACATTTGTTCCTGGATGTTTCTTTTAGTATAATTCAGAAGAAGGCTGTGACTCACATCTGGAACAATGACCGTGAGCTTCGGGTTCAGTGCATGGTACACCTTGCCAATTGCTCCTTTATAACACCAGAAGGGGTTGTAGTCCTGGCTGTACTTGGTGTCCGAGTCTCGGACCGTCGTGAACAGCTTGTACCAAGACGTGGCGTTGGTGTACGTCTCCGGCACGCAGTGCGGCGGCTGCCTGCAAAACCAAATGCACAATCTGTTGACTGGTTCTGTTGGACTCTTTAAAACATGGCAGGATTTTACAAACCTGTCTTCTTTTAGCGTTTCAGTTCATCTTGTTTAGGGTTTGAAATTATTTCCCAATAGCTACTGGTGGTTTAAAGACCCTAATTTACTTGCTTTGAACAGGAAGTTGGACAATGACAATGTACATGTCGAAAAGTGCTACTTAAAATTAGTATAAACCATTTTTAATACCCAATTCACATAAAACATACCTTAAAATAAAATAAATATGTTTGCTGGAGCCTTAATCCCACTGCTGACAGCTCTTACGCAGTTTTTCTACTAAAGAGAGCTGGTGCTAGAACAGCTTCTTAACCATTAATCCATCTATTTTTTTATATGCCTTTGCTTGTTTGTTTTTTTAATCACAGGGGAGTTGGTGCCCGTGTCCAGAATTCACTGCTCGAGTGGCGGGATACACCCTGGACAGATTACAAATCCATCACAGGGACACAGAGGGACAATCAACCATTCAAGCTCTCACTCACAGCCAGACAAAACTGTCAGTTAACCTTAACGTACACGCAACATCACTGCTGGGAGTCGTTTCTACCAGGATCCATAAACACCAGCAGCTGTGCTGAACGAGCCGACGGTGGTTATTCACGGTGCTTCACGCAGACTTATCAAATCAACTGAAAACAGAGATTGTGAAAGCAGCTCTGTGCGTTGCTCTGACACACGACGCGATTAGTAAATACAAACAAGCACAAAGTGCAGGGAGATGACACGATGAGCACTGCTAATGTGACGTCCCTTACATGTGGAAGTTAATTATTGAGTCTCAAAATAAAGAGAAGTAAAGGAGAAACATCGTGTTTTTATACACAACTCACATTTTCACTGGTGGAAACTCTGCAGTGTCTTTGTCTGAGGTCCTTCAGCGAGTTTTAACAAGTTAACAGAACACAGTGTAACGACAGTTTTGGTTTATTATGCTCGTTTTAACGTTTCAACAACTAAAGCAAAATGCAAACAAGTGCACTGGAATGCACCCCCACGTTGCGGTTGTCTATCACTTATGAAGCCTAACAGCGCTATCATACGAAGTGCGTGTAAGTCACCTGATGGTAAAATCACGAGATTTGAATACCTCGCTGTTGGCCCCTTTGTGGAATGCAGAGTTGAAAAAACTCCAGAACGTTGTCTTTAGGAAAGAGCTTACTGGGATAGAGAAACTGGGATTTTACATTCAAAAAATTAAGTTCTCATCAAGATAAGTGAGACAAAAGTTGCACGAACACACAGTAGCAGTAGAAGTTTAGTTGGTTAGTAGATTTAGAAAAATAAAAAGACCCACAATTTTCCATTTTTACGACTAAGCAGAGAAAAAAAACAACTGATTTGTGCACACATGATAAAATTATAAAAAGGAATAAGAAACTACGTTTTTTTTTGTCTAACGGAGCGCACCACTAACGTTCATGCAGCCAACATGTCATCAGAAACCAGTGAAGGAAACAGTCCAACTCACACTGTGACTGGGAAGATATTGCTGGCTGCTGTGATGGTCATGCAGGTGCTGAACACCACCTGCTCGCAGTGTCCGTGCAGAACGCAGTCGTCCGAGTTCCAGGACACGGGCAGCGTGAATGTGATGTTTATTTCTTCATGAGCTTCTCGGCCTGCACGCCAGAAAACGAGAAGGTACAGTCAGGACCCGACAGAAACCAGGTTAACGACTCGCACTTGTAGTTAGCAGGAACAATGTTCAACCGTGAGGCTGTTCTTTCAGCCAAAACGCTACAATCAGAACGTCGAACTGCTTCCGTCAATGACTGATGGGCTTTAAGAGTTCATGTGATATTTACTGAACTGCAAAGAACAGAAGAAGATGACCATGAACAGGACTGAAAAGTGAAATGCATCTTTAGATGGTGATAATAGAAATATATATTAACAAATTGCATCAAGTCAAAAAAGCCTGATGAAGAGATGACATTTATTAAGTCTTTCTTGTGCATGAGCCACGTTAAGTTTTATGTGATGAACTTGCTAAGATATAAATAACTTGACATTCATTTACATGAAAAAACATGCTCTATAAATATAATATCCAATGGTCAGTATACAGAGGATATTCTGCCAAAGTCTTGTGCAGGTATTCATACAAAAATTACTTTAAGTACAATGAATACGGGACAGTAAATTTCTTTGTTTTCGGCATCAAAATGTGCGTTTGATCCCATCAGCAGCCTCGTGATCGAGAAGTTTTCAAAAGTCCTAAAAGAAAAACTTCTCTCATCTCTGAGGCGTGTCGTCTTTAGCAACACGCCCTGATCTACGCTTGTTTTCAAACCAAGTGTTGCGTGAAATAAGACAGAGATGCAGAGCAGACGACGTAGCACAACGTTAGTCATCTAAAAACTGGACTCTTGAAGAATGTAATCAGTGTTTGCACGGGTCAGGAGGACGACTGCTGAACTTATTTGAGGGTTTCTGATAACGTTTCAGATACAAATGGCATGTTTGTTAAAACTAGAAGACACGCTGCTTGTTTTAAAGTCCACTGCAAGCACAATTGAAAAAATATACATGCTTTAAATATCGATGCATTTTCTTATTTACATTATTTATTTAGAATTTTGGAGATTTAACTACTGACATTTAGTTTATTCTGTTATTTTTTACTTTATGGAGCTCTTCAAAGTCAACGGAGGATATCTAAGGCAAAGAGAACAAGTTAAGATGCACCCTGTTCAGGAATTTGTTGTATATTGAGACAAAGAAATACGAACAAACACACAACGGGCTGCTTTAAAAGCTTGAAACCTGCAGGTGAATTGCAGCAGAGCAGGTTCATGTTGCACAGTGCTGCCACTGCTGGCTCACTAATCATGTATTTTTAAATCTTTTAAGAGTTTTCAGTCAAGAGGAATGAACGACATTCGTGCAGTTTTACCACACACAGGCCTGAAGTCACAGATACTAGTTAATCTTTACACTCTAACCTGATTTTCTAACCTTTTCCTTCAGATAAGAAGCCAAAACAATTGTGAAAATGTAAAAAAGGACCTACCTGACAGGCCGACTTGCTGCCCCAACACCGTGGCATACAGATGGGTGATGTTGCGAGAGTATCCTCCAAACGGACGCTGGGGGTCCAACGTGAGCGTGATGGAGACGGAGATGTTAATAGGACCCGGGTCCTCCAGCAGGAGGGGAGGCTGGGTGCTGGAGCGAGCCTGACCGCTGGTCACAACTGTGCTCTCCGGAGTGGTGGACTCGTTCAAGCCGTGCTTTATCGTCTCGTTCTCCGACACGCAGAAGTCCAGCTCGTTGTAGCGCAACAGAAAGGTGTTCCAGTCCTGAGAAACAGCAAGAGGGTTTCAAACCGAGGAACACAAACTATCCGGTCTGATAATGGAAGAACCGCACGCACAAAACTTCCTGTAACATTATTCATTGTATTTGTTTACATCCACCAGGAAGCTGAGAACCCATCCCAGAAGGTTTTCTCCATTTGCATCCTGATTAAGAATTTCAGCCTAAAGATGGTGATTTGTTGAACTGCAACTGTAGAAGACCAGTTGGCAACGCACACTTGAGCCAATGTTGCAATAAAATACACAAATTACTCGTTGTTGTCTCACTGAGCTCAGTGTTTTCAACTAAATGAGCGAGTCATGCAGCTGCTTTTTGATTGCCCCATTTTTTTTTAATCATGGCCTTTTTTTATGCGCATGGCATAAATGTGTTTTTTTTTTTATTGTTCACCACCACCCATATCGTGCCTGCCTCAGCCTGATACGTGTGCACGTGTACCATCCATCATGCATGCATCTATTGAATGGGAGATATTAGAACTAACAGCAATGGTTCAAACTTTTGTAGCTTTAGACCAACAAAACAGAAAAAAAACAGACTTAAGAACTAGGTCTGTCACGATAACAAATTTTGTTGGGCAATTAATTGTCTCAGAAATTATTGCGATAAACGATAATATTGTTTGAAATTTGACAATAATTAGAAATTATTGTCAAATTTAAGAAGAAATGTTTAATTTGTTTTGCATGTAGTGCCTTTTGTTGATCACCAGATGGCAGTATAAAACGGTTTGAACCAAAGGATGGATAGTGAGGGAGCGAGCAGCGTGTCTCTTTAAGAAAAATGGGAGGGAGGCCCCTTGACGTGACATGGGCTGTCTCTCCTTCCTTTCTTCGGTTCTCAAAATGGCAGATGCTCGGTGTGATTTGAGCTCTTTAGCACAGCATTTTTCACACAAAGCTTTTAATAAAAAAAATCAGTAAACAAGTTCTCAGCCTCTTTTTACAGAGAAAAACAACTTTAGACGAAGGCACGAGTTTCAATTGTGAATTTTGGAGCTTCGACAAGACAAAGGTTTTTTCCCCGAGGTCGGCCTGTTAGCTTAGCTCGTAACTTAGCTTCTCAGCTTAGCTGCTTTTAACTAGGGATGCACCGATCCACATTTTTTTAACTTCCGATCCCGATACCTAAATCTGGATATCGACCGATACGGTCCCGATATCATCATTATTATTGATTTTATGTGATGCTATAATAATCTCCTCTCTATAGGCAAGTACAATTTGTACAAATATATGAATGTCCAAAAAAGCAACATGAGGTAAGTTTATTAATGTTGGATAAGTTTCAAAGTTAGAATTAAATCCTGCTAACATAAAACATGTTTGTTTTACTCCTAGCTTTAAAGTGGATATTAAAGTGATTAAATGGCTTCAAACATCTGCTAAGTTCATGGCATAAACCAACACAGAGGGTAAACTATATCTTGGCTGCAAGTATCAAGCTGCAAAATCCTTTGTTTTCTACAGCTGATAGTGGTTGGTCATTAATTACGATGAAGTTTAGCAACTTCTCGGTAAACGTTAGGGCTCCGGGGCTTCAGCGGTCTGTTATTTTTGTTCAATCCGCAGCAGGCAGTCTGATTTCGATCAGCCGCCTCAGTCTGCCCCTCCTCTGAGACAGGCAGACTGAGCGCGGCTGACCAAAATCAGACTGACTTCTCCGGACTGAATGAAAATAACACACCGCTGAAGCCATGAAGCTCGAATGTCCAACGTAAAACTAACTTTACCGCGATTTAATGTGGCGCTGTGGCTCTGCAGACATTGCACGTTGCTGTCTTGTTTTGTGGCGTTTCTAGTGTAAAATACTTCCACACAGCGGACATGTTTTGGTTTACCGTTAGCCACAGTGCTACTGCACGTTGTAGCTGGCTGCAAACTATGAACCGGATTTCCTGAATGTGAGGCGGGTCTTATTACTCTGGGCTCATGAGACACGCCTCCTTTCAGGAAATCCATTCCATAGTTTGAAGCCAACGTGCAGAGCAGCTGACAGGGAATCCACATGTGGAGACGTTTTACTTGGAGACACAGACGTGCATCATGGATCAGAAATCTCAGCAGGTTGGATCGGAAAAATCCGATACGCAAATTATGCTGGTATCGGAGCCCGATACCGGATCGGCCCCATCCCTACTTTTAATGAACCAAAAACACGATTTTGGACGGTTAAAACAGATTTTTAAGAGAAACGATAAAGTGAGGGGTCAGTGAAGAGCACCGGAGTTGAGCCTTTTGTCATCCAGTGTCTTCAGAAAGAGAGAAACGAAGAAATGATAAAGCCGACAAATGAAAATGAGGTTTATAATTCTCATTTTTTCATGTAATTAAATGATTTGTTTATCGCGACAGGCCTATTAAGAACCCAGCTACTGCTGCCTCAAGTGTACAAACTTGGCCAACAAACCAAATAAATTAGTATAGTGACAACTTCAACACTTAATATAATATTTGTATCCAATTATGAATGTTGTCGGTTTTATAACAGCTATGGCAGAACACAATATTGGTAATTTATTTTATTTCTGGAAATCGTCTCAAGAACACTCCCGTGTTGTTTGAACAAACCACTACGCTGCACAACGGCGCATTTATCTCATCTTTCTGTGTTTTCCACTTATACGTTTTATTTGCATATGTGCATTAGCGTTGGGTGGAGCAGAGGTCAAGTTCAGCTCCACGAGTAAATATTTAAAGAGCCTGGAGTCGCTTATTTTTCTGCTAAAATGAGATGAGTCTTGTGAACTGAGCTGGGTGGAGTATGGTTTATATTTCAGTGTTAATACATTATTGCAACATGAAGCAGGATATAACGAGATATGAGAGAAGAAATAAACTCCTCGGTTTCATCTTTTTTCAAAGCATTGTGTGGATTAGTCCTACCTCTGTCAACTCCGGAGACTTGATCTCCTTAATCTTAAAGAAATAACCGATGGTCAGGAAGGCAATGGCCACTGCGCTGACGCTGATCATAAAAATGACCAGCGGTGGACGGTTGTTGATGTAGCCTCGTAGGTTCTCTATAGGATTCAACAGGTACACCTGCACAGAAACAAACACACGGGTGTTCATGTTAAACCGCACGAGCAGATACACGACATGTTGACCAAAACTCTCCAACTCCGAGTCGGGGGAAAAAAAATCTATTTGTTGCACAACTCCATCCTGTTTTCTGTCATCAATCCACTGAAATAATGTCAATTTAACAAGAAGTGTTTCAGAAAGCTCTGGGTTTAAATCATGCTCAAATTAAAGGTCTAGCATCGGGTGGAGGAATGCGTATCACCCGCCTCCTTTCATCCCAGAGTTTTACACTGAGATCACCTTATGATAAGAAGTGGAGGCCAACTTGAAATGAGTTGACTCCTAAAGTTAACCAGTTGTACACATATATCCAGTAAGGGTGTAACAAGATCTAGTCCAGGGGTGTCCAATCCTGGTCCTCGAGGGCCACTATCCTGCATGTTTTACTCGTTTCCCTGCTCCAACACACCTGGATCGATGGTTCAATTACATCTTCATATTCTGCAGAAGCCTGTTAATCACTCACTGATTTAAAATCGGGTGTGTTGGAACAGAAAATCAGCTAAAACATGCAGGGTAGTGGCCCTGGACCAGGAATGAACGCCTCTCATCAAGTGCCTCAATATCGAGACTAAAACTTTACGAGATTTCTCGTCAACTTGAAAACTGTCTCACAAACACCCAGAACCCTCGTCTCATGACTTTAACATATTCACTAAAAACGTCTCCAACACTTTGAATCATTTGTGTGGCAGCGGTATAAAAAAACAACAGGCACTAGGACCATGTGGCACATTCCTCAAGTCATGTTGCCCTCACGCAGCCTCTGCAGCTACGTGCTGAAAGGAAGAGTCTCTGCCGCACATTACTTTAAAACAGAAGTTCACGTGATGACTTGTTAAAGCTAAGAAAATTTATGAAAAATGTATTCGTTTGTTCGAGTGGAGCGAAAAAGAGTCGAAGTTTGAGGTGGATGTGAATCTAACTACCGTTTACTGAACGCCTTAACTCTCCCCATAATCCGCTTAATCTTCTCTGTGTGAAATTATACAACTCAGATTTTCAAACTCGTCAGAGTACATCACAGCTACAGTGTGTCCAAATTTATTTATCCACTTTACCTCTTTGTGATTTATTTGGTTATTTTAAGGAGAAATGTTTTTCTGTCCGTTTGAATTTTCATAGATTATTTAAAGTTGTTTTGATGGTTTTTGGTGTTTTTCCACAAGAATTCAGTTAAAAATTGGTGACAACGAATGACCAAAGGGATAAAAAAAAAAATCTGACTAGTAAATAAGATTTGTTGAGAAAAGCCAATTTTATATTTCTGTATGAATGTTTTGACAAATACATTTTAAAAACAGAGCAACTTTTATTTTTTAAGACAATCTTGGCAAAAAAAAAAAAAAAAAAAAGGTCGCTCCTTGATCAGGTTTTTAATTTGGGCATCTTGTGTAAATGACTGGAGTTCCCTGAGTTCAAAGGTCACTCACAGTTTCCATGAGAACCTGGAAGATCATGAAGCTAAAGAACCGTTCTGATGCCTGAAGAGACTCAGGAGAGCTCGGACAGAAGAGTCAGTTTTACTTAAAAATGTTAAAATCTCTCTCGTAATATTTTCCAAAAGTTTCAGTAAAAGCTGTCCAGCGGTTCTTGAAATATTTTGCTAACACAGAGAGATTAAACATGGTGTTTTGAGACAAAATTGTGATGTGAACACACCACGATTTGTTAGAGCATGTGCTTTACCTAACTTTAGTCTTTATTTAAAATTTAAATAAATTAGTCAGTCTGCCTCTGTTGTGGTTCTCAGGACAGTGTCTTCCTGTCTGTTTGGTGTGATGAAACTTCAGTTCTCATTTAAAATAAGAAACAATAATGACCTGAAGGCTGCATGCATCATCTACTCATTAGGAATTTGTTTCTCAAGTAATAGGGGTAGTAGTCATTTTCTCATTGTAATAGAATTAGCTAAGCTGTTATTGAAGCCTCTTTATTATTGGCCTTATTTTTCAGCTCCTGAGGCCACATCTGCCCTTGTTAACTCACACTCTAGTAAACAGATTAATGCCACGCTGTAAATGTAGCCATAACGTCTTGTTCTGTTGCATCTTGCTGCCGCTGCTTTGATAACCCCCACACAGGCAGATGCAAACTGTTTAAACGCACCGAAAACTGGATTCGTGGTGAATCCTGGAGTGTTTTCTCCGGGAACATGTTGCGTTTCGAGAACACACACAGTTGTAAATTCAACAATATGAAACACGAGCCGTGCTGGGCGACAGCTGGGAACTGGACACCATCTTGTGAGAGGATGGCTGCAGCTGCGACGGCCGGTCTTGAGTACACATCTGTAAAGCTTCAAGGAGTTTTTATTTTATTTTTGTAGCCGGCACAAACTCTTCCTACATGTATTAAAATGTACATTTCTTTTGTTTGATTTGCAAAAAACAAAGCATAGATGCTTTAAAAGCGTACGAACTCAGTGATTTGGAGCTACAGGAGAATGTATTATGAAGTACATGATGAAAAGAAGATGACAGAAGAAAGTTAAAAAATAATGCTCGATTTCTGTGTGGATGTCTAACTCCGATTGATCCAACTGGTCAATCTGAGCGAACACAAAAATGGCTATAACCAAGTCCGTCTGACAGATACGGAGCCAAGATTTCATGTGGTAGTAGCAGAGAGTCATCCCAAACACATACCGTGAGTGCTAACAGATCGCTCAAGAACTTTGAAACGATGGCATACAAGGCGGCGAGTAATTCATGTTTTAAGCAACATTAGAGAAACCCAACAAACAAACAAACAAACAAACTTATCTGTTGCAAGAGAAGTTGACAACTTCTGCTCAGTGAATAATGGTTTTAAAGTCATGGGTTCTGCTTTGTTGAGGTCACTTCATTAGGTCAAAGTGTTAGTCTAAGACAGACATTATACAGCTTTATTATATTATTATAAATATAAATGTTATATTATAATTATACAAATAAAAGCTTTAGGAATTTACAAGCATTTTCCTATCAGTTTCTGGCACATTCAGATATCTTGAATTAGACTATGGCACACATTAAAGTACTTTAACTGTAAATTAATTTCCATTCTGGATGGCTCCATATACGTACAGGTTGCTGCATGCAAACAATTTGTAAGAAAGCACAGCAAATTACCACATGATCTCAAAGGCATGGGGCTGGTGTTCATTTGGCTTCAAGTCAATATGCCCCAGTCACGTTTTTTTCAGAATCACGCACATTGACAATAAAATTTCTGTTCCAATTTCTTCCTCTTACACAGGTCAGAGTTGCGATAAGTGAAGTTAAATGTAATAATCGTGGCAGGAAAGAAGTCACCTGGGTAAAACTTTACCACGACACCAGACAATCGCACACAAACAACACTAGCACGCCTGTCGCTGCTGACCATCCTGAAATTTAACCAACAACCGGTTTGACGAGATGTTTTCACAAAGGAAGGTGTTCTGAATTCAAACTGAATTACTGTTTAAAGGCTTCCTTCCTTCTTTACATAGATAACTTTACTAACTGACATTTATAATGTATGTGAATGTTTTTGTTTATTGCCCTGAGATAACTTCTGTTGTGACATGATGGCACTATATAAATAAACTGAACTGACTAAATGAAGGCCCAAACTGACACAGACATCCAATAGTTAGTTAATTCATAGTTTTAAATGGATTTGTTCAAGACAAGACTGATCATCTGATGTTTAAAAACTTCACACTTCTCCATTTGTCTAGGTTCATGTATTTAACCACAAACTGCACAATTGATCTTGATCAAGTGCAAGGACTGACTGAGAAAAAAAAAAGATGCAAAAGTCCAAATAAGATGGAAAAACACTGAAAAGCGATTGATCAGAACCACTTTAGAAGGATCACAAGTCAGTCTGGCTCCTCATTCCTACGACTAGCTGTAGTTGTAAATGTCATTGAATTTAAAACAAAATGATAAACAACAAAGTGCACATAAAAAAAATCATTCCCTACACGTCACATAAAAACACATTTCAGACCCAGTAAATTTTAGAGAAAATAAAGTGTCCTAATAGTTGTTAAAAGACTGAACAAATTGGTAATCACTAAAAATAACCTTCATTTGAACTTTTATGGCTTAAATAGAGACTTTGCTTGTGCATTTATTCGTCCAAATATGTTCTAATAAAAAATATCAGCAAGGAATGTGAATTTCTTTAATGAAATTATAAAGCTGCACAGTTTAGTAAAAATGTATAAGAAAACTCGAGACGATTAGCTAGTTCCTCACTTAAACCGCACGAGCTATTAACGCGCTAAAGCTAAACATTTTTGCTTTAAAAGCGTACTAAAACTCAAAACAGATCGCTCAGTTTGATTAAATAAGTACTCACCATTTTCTCTTCCTATGGAGACGGGGTTGGTAGTTTGGAGGTGTGTTGCGAGCCACAACAATAAAGATGCGATGTCGCTAGCTAGTTAGCCTCCCTGCAAAGCTAGCTAGCCTGTGCTGCTAGCTTGGAGCTAGTCCCTCCTGAATTTACCGCTGAAAAGCAAAAGTCTGAGCTCAGAGGATGCAGCTAGAGTTTCAGCGTATGAAACCACACGTTTACTCCTTCCCATTCTCTGTTCTCAGGTGTGATGCACCTCTCTAGAGAAGCGTATCTTCAGCATTCAGACTGGAATAACGTCAGTGTCTTCCTGCCGACATCTGATCCGCGTCCCCGAATTGCGTAGAAAAAGCGTCGCAGCGCCGCGTTCTCGGTATTTTCGACAAAAGTGTACGCTCGGAATTTGGCGTCGGTGCGTTGGAGACACTTTAGTGTACGCAGTTTGCGTAGCTGGAACGCACTTAGCGTGTTTACAACAGGCTGGAGGCTGTTGCCGCTTTCAATTACTGTCAGAAATATTTTATTTAAGACGAAAGCAGCGAGCTAAGGATCGTGTGTGTTTGAATTTTTTTAACTTGCATTTAAAACATAGGTTTTATAGTAACTTTATATGTTATTTTTGCATAGTTTTTATACACTTGTGTTTTTTTTTCACGTTTTCTAACTTTTGTATTTTATTTCTGACTGCTGATGAAGGCAACACAGTGATAGAATATAAAACAAAATCCTGCATCTGTGACCAGGTATGGACTTGTTTTTTTACTCATTTAAAAAAAGTTTTGATTTGCCTAAAGGTTTTAAATAAAAAGAAACATAAGTATTAACTTCAGTTATTAATTGTAATACAAATTCAGTCTTAAATGTTATTATAAATCTCAGGCATAATGTGTGACACCGAGAACACAATGTGAGACAAATTTGTAATTGGTAAAGAAATGTGTCAGATATGCAAAGAAATCTAAATAATGCAACCTTTGATGCAATATGTTTAGATTGCTTTCAAATCAAACACAAATAATTTTAGGGGTTTGAATTTATTTATTCATAATGTGTACAAAAAAGCACAACAAGTATACAACCTTTATTTCTAAAGGTACTTATTCGTGTCAATAGTTGTACAATATTTTTAATTGCAAAAATGTTTTTGACATTAACATCCACAGTCAGTTAAGACAAATTAATCAGTTAGCATTTCCCTTCTGTTGCAATGAATTCACAAAAAATTGCACATTTTATATGTTTTATTTGTTGCTGTTTTTGAAATATAATAATTTAAGGGATTTTCTATAACGAAACAAGCAACTCACCAACCTTGCTTTCTCTTTGACAAGAGATAGAAATAAAGACTCTTTTAACCATAAGATAATTAAAAAAAAGTAAATACGTATTAGTTAAGTTACAACTAACGCTGAGAAGGGGAACATTAATTGGAGAAATCTAGTATTTAAATCTATAAATTAAGCAGTAATTTTCGTTGCTCCTAATCAGCAGGTGGCAGTAATAATAAAATTGACGCGCCAAGCTGCTCAAGAAGAAGCTTACCGGAATTTGAGTTTTCGTCCTTCAAAATAATACAAATGGCTAAGGTTACTTGACAAAAGTACAGCTATACTCAGTCTAAAATGTAAGCTTTTGTACAGCTTATTAAATAAGGCTTATGAATCAGTTTTATGGACATTATTTACTGTTTTATCTTAATTTTAATTATAAATTATACGCCATGCTTTAATTTTGTAGACCCTTACCGGAAAAGGTTAAAACAGCGTTTCCCTTTAACGCAGCTGACGTAGCAGTTAGCTAATAAACAAAAAGGAGGTGTAACAACTTCAACCTTCAGCTTTAACAGTTTGTACCGCTGCTACAAGGTAAAATAAGTAAGTGTTTGTACTATTCTCGGCGAAACGACAGATTTATAAAACTTTATTTAGAACGTGAGATGTATTGTTTAGTAGGTAGGTAGCTGTATGGCTAACGCTAACACATGTCACGTCTTTGTGTCATTTATTCATTCGTGCCGTCACGTTTTAATTTAAAGAAATGCATTTTTATTACGAGCTTGCGACATTGTCTTAAAAATAGTGAAAACCCTGAATGAAACTGCATTTTATAACTATATAAAAGTTTATAATTGAAGAGTGTTTTCAACACGTTTGTTAGATCAGCATGTTTGGTTTATAGCTAAATAAAATAATAGTTTACTTTATCTCTGGTAAATTTGAGTTGGCATTTATGTTATTTTAACCACCCTTATTATAACTTCATATAATTTCAAACCACTTTCACTCATATTTCTCATGTATTTAATGTTTTCTTTTTATTTTCTGTATTTGTGTTTTGAAACATGAGTGATGAATTTTGCACCATTTAAGCTAACAATTGGTAAATATGAGGCAAAATTCATGTTTTTGTTTGCACTCTAATTAAATTAAACAAAAATCTCATTTTCTTTAATGGAAAAATACTGAAATTAAATTAGGTCAGGCGTATTACTGTTGTTATAGCACTGTTAAAAACTGTTTCATATAGTTAATAATATAGAAGGCATTAATAAACAGTAAAGTTTTACATATCAATTTTTTTTAATTAGTTTCCGAGTTTCAGAAGATCTTTAAGGTTAAATTAAGTTTCTACAAGACTTTCAGCTAAAACTCCACCATCCTCTCTTAAACTTGAGACTGATGGACATCAGGTTTGTAGATTTGACTCGACATAATGACAATACGTTAAAAACAACTGTTACTTGTTTTGAAATAACCTCAGACTATTGTTCAGTTCGTCTTAAAGTAAGAGAGTTTAATTTAGAATTAAACCAGTTTTAAACTATTTAAACCAGTTTAAGAGTTTAATCTATCCTTCCATCCAAGACCGAGATGGGGTAGAGGTGGAGCAGCTGACTTGGGACCAGAAAGTCACGGTTCGACTCCCAGCCATTCCCACATGCCGTGGTGTCTCTGAGCAAGACACCTAATCCCCAATTGCTCCCCGGGTGGTTACAGTTAGCCGCCCACTGCTCCACCTGGGTGTATCTCAGGTGTGATGGGTTAAATGCAGAGAACTAATTTTGCCATTGAATGGGAACATACAATGATGACAATTTCAGACTTCCCTTCATCCATCCATTATCTTTACCCGCTTTTTCCTTTTCGGGTCGCAGGGGCCACTGGTGCCCATGTCCAGCTGTCACTGTGTGAGAGGCGGGGGACACCCTACAGGTCTCCAGTCCATCACAGGGACACATAATGAGACAATCACTCTCTCACTCCAGTCTAAGGATAATTTAGAGTTACCAGTCAGCCTTTTGGTCTGAGGGAGGAAACTGGAGTACCTGGAGAAAAACCACGCATGCAGAGAGAACATGCAAACTCCACCCAGAACGGCCCCCGGCCGGGATTTGAACCAGCGCGACCTGCTCGCTGAGAGGCAGCAGCTCTACTAACTGACTCACCGTGCTGCCTGAGTTTAATCTACAAAACAGAAATTTTAAACTTATAGTTTTGACAGGGATGTTTTTTTTTTTGTTTTTTTAAATCTGATGCGTTTGCAACAACAAAAATGTGTCCACTGCTTCACAAATATGCAGCCGGCAACTTCTGTAAAGTGCTGTACTGGTTCCATTCCTTTGTTTTAGATAAAATATAAAAAAATAAAAAAGGCAAATTGAGTTGGAGAACTTTATTTAAAGCTGTAAGCTCATTTACACAAACGAAACAAAATGCATCTTCTCTCTAATCATTGCTTTTTGTCTCTCTCTTAGGTTCTAACTCACCTCAGTTACAACTACATGCACAGACGGTTGATCTTATTTGTTCATAAGGCGGTTTGTGTGCATCAACACAAGTTTGGTTCACTTGTTGGACATCAGCAACTCACCAAACTGTGCAAAGCCTCCCCTGTCTCTTTGTACACTAATCAGCTTCCCTCTCCTCCTCACTCGTTAAAGCCTTCATGGCAAACTAGTCATTTTACCTCAGTATCCCATAAACAAGACCTCCTTCAAAGGTTTCCTCCCTGGTCTTTCCTGTACCGTCATTTTTCTAACCAGCTGGATATGTCGGAGCAGAGGTTCCTCGTGGAATACGCCAAACGCGGCACCGCAGGGTGTAAGAAATGCAAGGACAAAATCCAGAAGGGAATAGTGCGCATAGGGAAGGTTGTGCCGAACCCTTTCAGCGAGTCTGCAGGGGAGATGAAGGAGTGGTATCATGTGAAGTGCATATTTGAGAAGCTGGAAAGGGCAAGAGCCACCACGAAGAAGATTGAAGACCTCACAGAACTGGAGGGCTGGGAAGAGCTGCAGGACGAGGACAAAGAGCTCATTAATAAACACGTTTCAGGTACAGCAAGTGCACACTCTGAATGTTTTTTTTTCTTACTTTTCTGTCACACTGAAATAGTTGTTTTCACATACCGGTATATGATTTTTAGTTTTGATTCTGATTTAGTTTGTGGTGCTCACTGTGAATTTCCCAGTTATTTGTGGATGTATGTTTTTGGTTCAGCATGTTTAAAATCCCGTTGAGCTCCGTTATTGGCTTTACGTTCTGTAGATGTTCCACGTCAGTTGACTGTTCAACAAGTTAACGCAAAAGGTTTCATATTTTGTAAAATTACTACAGACTAAACAACTATTTTAGCAGAAATAATAAAACATTTGGTCTCTTACGTTTTGTTGCTCCCTCCAGGAACTCGCGAGGGATGAATTCTTTAACTCATCGCTTTAGCAGCAGCTCATCTTTACTTCCATTACCAAATCACTTTCGCGTGAGAACTATAAACACGAAGGTTACGCCTTAAAAATCACGCTTCAGTTGTTTGCACAGTTTACAAGCAAACCTCACAACACACCTCCCTGTCTGCATTCAAAAAACAGAGAAATCTTGGCTGCAGCGATCGTTGTGACGCCGTCATAAAGATGAATTAATAATTAATAACGTTATATTGTTTTAAACAGTGTGTGCCTAAATTAAATGAAATATATAATATATTGATCCTAGTAGATTTAAATGAAGGCTGCCGGACTTGATCTTTTAAGAGGTTTTACTTCTCGTTCAAGGAGCGTTCTCAGTTCAGACTGAAACGTGCAATTTTTTAAAACTGTTCTGAGTTGAACCCCCATGCAAATCATTATCCCTCCCCTCTCTCCCGAGGGTCATTAGGGTTATTGTCGGTCTGGTCCATGTGCAGAATGTTTGCATTCAAATTGTCCAGATGTTTTGACCAAATATTTCACATTTAGATCAGACCAACGGACAACTTGGTGACCCTCAGGAGGGATTGAGAATGATTTGCATGCGAGTTTGAAGCGGATCGATTACGTTTAACAGCTTGGAACTCTTGTTTAAATTGAGAAATCTCGTTGGATGAGAAGCAAAACATTTTCTGAAACGGCCCAACACTCCTGGGAGGAATTCATACCACCCACCTCCTTTAATGCTAGATTTTTAAATACAGTAAAATCTGATCACATAAAATAAAAACATAATCGATAAAAATACACTTTCTGTAAATTTGACTCATTTTCGTGTTAGATAATGTGGATTAGATGCGATGGCTGAATTGTTAAAGGGAACTTGTCACAGATGTTTCTTATCCTTTCTGAAAGTTTCATTAAAATCTGTCCAGTGGTTTATGAGATGTTTTGCTAACACAGTGCAGACTAAAAGCATTGTTGGTATGTGTAAATATGTGTGACTGGCTGGGCTGTTCAAAAGTCATGATATGCTCATACATTTAACGATAAATTGCAGTAGTTATAAAAGTTTTTTTTTTTTTCTTGCAGACCTCATGGCCAAAGTCAACACGAGTCCAAAAAAGAAGGTTCAGGCCAAGTTGAACACCACGGGTCAGCTGATGGCTCCTCCTGCTGACCCGTCTGTCAACGTGCCGCGCAAGTTCTCAGGCTTCACAGGTAAGATGTGACCGGGGGGGTCCACAGAGACGTAAACCTCAGGAGGAAGAAAAGATCCGAGTGGCAGAACAGACGTTGTCCATGCGTGGTCCAATTATTTAATAGTTGAATCACAAAGCTGCCACACCGCTGAAATAATCTAAACATCTTCTAATTTCCTCAAATGAATAAACTTTTTATTCAGGCAGGTAAGACGGAGGTAATTTTTTAACAACAGGTGCATTTGATTTGTGCCAAAAGTGTTTTTGCAGTCGATGTAAGGATTAGTCCGTCTCAGCTGATCTGAGGCCAGAACATTTTTTGTTGATGAAGCAGCTGGGAGGGATAAACAAACAAAACTAGAAGAAAAAAAACTTAATATTATCAAAAATACAGCATGAATGCAGAGAACTAAATGATTCTGCTTCTTTAAAGAGATAACGGCATGAATGTGGAAACTTCTGCTTACCTCCGATTTTTTATGAATTTCATGTCCGTTTGGTTTATTGTCATATTCCGGCTTCAGACCTTCGGCTCGCAGTTTAGCGCATCAGTAAAAAGCTTCAGCTCAGGCTGGACTGTGGCGACTAACTGGTACGACTACTTTGATGGTTTCTTCGGTCGTGTTTGACGATGATAAAATATGGGAAAATTTCAAGTGGCATAAAAAAAGCTGCGATGCTGCAACAGAGACATGAAGGAAGTCCATTTTACTGCACATGTAAGGAAACACGGAAACAAACGTTTCAAACTGTGTAGTTCAAAATGCGTCAGAATAAAGATCAAGCGTTCTTTGGAGGAATGCTTATCACCCGCTGCCTTTCATGCCAGTTTGAGATGAAAATGGTCTTTACCTTGAAAATAACGTTGGACTCAAATCTCGTGAATCTGCAGAGTTGACTCCAAAAAGTCAACAGACAAATTTCAACAAAACTGGTCAATCTGTTGGAGCTCAAAGTATCAGTCTCGGCTACTACCACACCGAATTTTAGCTCAATAGCTGTGGAGTTGACTGCGTTACAGCTGTTTTTGTTTTCAATGCTGCAGCAGCCATCTTGAATCGCGTCATCAGTTGTAGACGTGCGTCCAATGATTCCTTTATGAAAACCATTCAAATCCTTCCTGTGGTTCATGACATATTTTGCTGACAGACAAATGAACACAGACATGAACAAAAATATTATGGTCGCCCAAAGGCTGCAGGCGATTTAAAACCAGCCCGTTTAGCAGAAGACGGTTCTGATTGATGCTTCTGCTTCTTTCTGTCCCATCAGCTGCGAAGGCCGGCAGCTCCAGCAGCCCTGGACCGTCCTCGACCCCCACCAAAGGCAGCCCCCTCTCCAAGCAGCTCTGTGACCCCCAGCACAAGGACTGCCTCTTCAGAGAGTTTCGTAAGCTCTGCGCCACGGTGGCCGACAACAACAGCTACAACACCAAGACGCAGATCATCGAGAGGTTCCTGAAGAAAGGCACCGGAGGAGGTCAGAGGAGCTTCACCTCCTTTTATTTTATTTCATCTAAACTGTTGCATCTTCAAACGGCAATAAATGCGTGCGGTTCTATAACGTTACAAATGTGAGTTAAGCAAAAGAAACAACCAGAAGAAGATGAACAACAAATTAAACAACTAATTGAATATGATTTTCTGCAAAACGCATCATGAACGTTTGATGCTGAATTATTTTTCTGAACTTTGGTGAAGCTCAAACTGAGTCGCAGAGTTAAAACAATCAGAACGCAAGCTAAAATTAGCACAGCAAAAGCTAAAAGCTATAATTAACAAAAGTTACGATTGCCAAAACGATAGCTAAAAGCTAGAATTACTAAACCAGTAACTAAATGTTAAACATGTGGAGTTCCTCAAGGTTCTGTACTTGGACCAAAGTTATTTATTTTATATGTATTATTTAAACTTAATAAATTATCATTAAACTTAGATAAAACTAACTATGATATTCAGTAACAGAACTGTCGGTGTTCCATTTAGAGTCGAGGGTGTTGAGATTTGTGGAGTTAGTGAGGTGAAGTTTTTGGGTGTTATAGATTGAAATCTGACATGGAAACATCACAATTCTGTAAGAATAACAATAGTTAAATCTATTGCAGCACTGTACAAAGTCAGGGACTTATTAAATGATAAAGCTCTGTATATGTTGCATAACACAATCATTGTTCCACACATAATTAATTGTTTTGACATTTGGGGGAAAGCGTGTAAAACAATTATAAACCCTATTTTTGTTTCACAGAAAAGAGCTGTAAGAATTATTACCAGGAAGCATTTCAGTCACTCATCAAGTAGTTTATTTTATCAACTGAAGTGATTGAAGTTTCACGATTTGGTAGATTATAATATTTTATCAGTTATGTATAGGGCTCATAATAACACATTACCTTTAAATATCCAGTTACATTTTGCTAAAAGAGAGTTTTTATAATCTTAAGGGGATGGAAATTTTTGTGAAACCTAAATTTAGAACTTGTCTGAAGGAACGGTTTACTTCAAACCAAGGAATTAGATTATGGAATAATCTGGAGAGTGATATTAAAAATGCCAGGTCAATGTCTATGTTTAAGAGAATGATCAAAGTCGGTTTGTTAAAAAAATTATGAAATAGCTTAATGTGTATTTGTATGAATCGACACTCGGGAAGGAGTTATTTAGGAGAGTGGTGGCTCAGAGGTTAGAGAAGGTGGGCCTGTGATAGGAAGATCGCTGGTTCAAGCCCCGGTACCGACAACACCAAAAATGTGGGTGGAGTAGGTGAAGCACCCACACCTGCCCCCACCCTCATTCGCTCCACTCTGGGTCCGCAAGACCCTTAACCCCCATCTGCTCCCTAAACAGGTCTCTCTTGAAAATGAGTTCTCGTGGCTCAACGAGACTACCAGGATAAATAAAGGATAAATTTAAAAAATTGTTTTTGTTATTTGAAGATTATTATTGTTTGAATTAATTTTTTGGTAAAAAGGGGCAGATATTATAATATTTTTTTCTTCTTTCTGCTGCCTTTCATTTTATTTGTGATTGTATCTTTTATTGTATATTGAATTGTTTTGTTTTTCTTTTAAAAACTGAATAAACTTGTATAAAAAAAAAAAAAAATCCAGAAAAACGGTCCCTAAAAACTATATTTAGCCGGACCGTAGCTACGAGCTAATCCCAGTGAAACGGTAGCTTAAAGCTTTTTCTTAAAGTGAACAATCAGAGCAACATTTGTGGATCAGACAGAACTTTTTTCAAAATGCTCATAATTTGGAACTGGACCTAAAGGTGTGTGTGGGACGGGGGGGTGGAGACGCACCTGCTTCATGTTTAGATTTTTGTATTCTTTGTTGGATGTCTGCTCATCAGTCTCACCAACTCTTTTTCCTCCTCCGATCTCAGATAAGTTCCACGGAGATCTTTACTTGACCGTAAAATTGCTCCTGCCAGGCGTTGTAAAAAGTGTTTATAACCTCAACGACAAGCAGATCGTCAAACTCTTCAGCCGCATTTTCCGATGCAACCAGGACGACATGGTGCGAGATCTGGAGCAGGTTCGTTCGCCAGATGGTAAACCTCGTTCTTGTGAACGTACGCGAGCAAAGATCAGACGTTTCCAACTCTCGGCTCTCGTTTTTGTTTGGAAGGGCGACGTGTCCGAGACGGTGAGGATGTTCTTTGACGACAGCAAGTCTTTTCCTCCTGCTGCCAAGAGCCTCCTTACGATCCAGGAAGTAGACTCGTCCTTGACCCGCCTCGCTCAGCTGACGAAGGAGGATGAGCAGCAGAACGAGCTGGAGGCGATTTCCAAAAAGTAACGCAGTTATTGTTCATTTTCACTCCCGACGGGTTGAGTGCCGCCGTTCATACAGAAAGCTCTGACGCACAATGGAGTTCGTTTTTAATTTTTCTGTATGTTTTTTTTTGCTATTTCCGCATACTTTGTGCTATTTTAGCTGCTCGTATATCAGAACAGTCAGGACTTAGATTCTATCTTTTTGTTTCTTTACTGTTTTATCCTTTTAAATATATTTAACTTTATAAACAAAAAAAATCATATGGATATACGTTGTCTTTGAACTGCTTAAGCAGACTTTAAAATGTCTTTATATGAGGCTTCTGCTGCTTTTAGCTTTTAGCTAGCCTTTGGATACATTATCCTCAAGTTAAGCTTCTAAGCTTTTAGCCAGTATTTAACCTTTTGCTCCAATATTTTTATTTGTGCATCTCTTCCTGTTTCAAGTGTCTCGAGCACGTCGCTCGCAGAAGTCCTGTCATAAACTGCATCTTGTGAGGTGTAAACAGAAAAGCGTCCACTTGTGTAGTTAATATGTTAAAGAAAAGCTGCTAGAAAACATATTTTGTTAATTCAGGGTTTGTCTCGGGAATTATTTTCACCGAAATCGAAGGCGAAGCTCGTGCAGCCAAATGCTCCAGCAGTTAGTCTCTGATTAGAGTCTGTGTGTTTTGTTTGGTTCTCTAACTTCGTTTTGTGATTTCTTGTAGTGGTTTAAAATATACGCTCAGTTTATTTATTTATTTATTACTTTTGAAAGAATGTCTCTACTTTAGCTTTTACCCAACAAATGACTAAATGGAGCCAGGTTCTTTCTAAATTACTCCCAGTGCTGCCATCAATTAAAGGTTTAAACCTTTTGAAGAGGGGCTCTGTGGAAACGTATAAACAAATATTACTTTACCCAATTTACAAAGTTTGGAGAAATAAATGATTTCTGACTGAATCCAAACAGTCCCTTTTTAAGTGTTTGTTTCATTTAAATCTTTTGATTTTACAATTACAGCAACGTTTGTCCTATAATGTTGTGGTTTTTAGCATTTCCTCCACTAAATGCTGCCTGTTCTTCATCAGATGTACCAGCAATGACTTGAAATGCATCATCAGGCTAATCAAGCACGACTTGAAGATGAACGCCGGGGCGAAACACGTGTAAGAGTTCAACGTACGATTGTCAAACTGTTTTTGTTTGGTTTTAATGGCCTTTTTTTAAATGGGCTCTTCGTTTAGTTTGGATGCTGTGGATCCAAACGCCTACGATGCGTTCAAGGCCTCCCGTAACCTGAGTGACGTGATCGAGAGGGTACTGAGGAACCAGCAGGAGGCGTCTAACGGTTCTGGACCCAGGAAGCTCCTCACGGTGGAGGCCTCCCTCATGACCCCCGTCCAGCCGATGTTGGTGAGTGTCACCGCTCATAAAATGAAACCATACAGAGGTACGGCGCAGGGGTGGGCGGAGTCTGCAGGGTTTTTTAGGATGGGAGGGGGGACTAAGCTGTGATGCATTAAAGGCACGTGGGAAAAGCTAACTAGTGAAATTTTTACAGACTCAAAACAACATTTGTTAAAACTTTTACTTGTAGTTGCAGTTTTTCCGATACTACACGCGCTTGCGATGCATCGGATACGCTCGATGTGTGGTCCACCTAAACTGTCTGATACATAACATTTAACGAGGTCTCCCAACCTCTTGCACAAAGCATGGTGATGGCTTTGCATTTTTCTTCTAGATATTACACAAAGGGTGGAGGTGGATGCATGTAGCTGACCTCATCGCAGATTTCAGCAGCTCTTTCTGCACAGCTGAGTCAGTTGTCAAAAACTATTTAATTTAGTTTTTGTAGCCCAACTGGCTGCAATTTTAACGTTTCAGTTCATAAAGGTGCTCTTTAAAAGCTGTTGATGTGTGGGTAAATAGAGCTGCGATTTCTAACCCGGGCCCGACCTGAAATTCGGTTCGGGTCAGGCAAAAAATGATGTGCTTGATGGGCGGGCCTGGTCGGTCTCGAGCTTCTGTGATGTGGTTTTATGAATCGTACAGCACAAATAAAACTAAATGAGAATGCACAATATAAAATTGTGTTAATCAACTTGTAGAGGAGGAGGCATGTTTGACCGGCTGGTTTAAAGAGGTAAAAAAAAAAAAAAAAAAGTCCAGTTAAGCTTCAGATGGATCACCGGCCGCGCGCGTCTCAGCACCCGCTGTCTTCTCCGGTGAAGGAAGTAGCAGCATCTACAAAAGCCAAAACGAGCAGTGCGTTAAATTAAAATAGACTTGTTCTGTATTTTTCCAAATAATGTAGCTCTAAATATATTTTTGTTCATCTGTATAAGAGCCTTTCTTTAGAGTTGATTTTTTTTAGGCTATTCGTTTTGTATATTAATGTCGATTTGGTTAAACAAGAAATCTTGTATCTTTCTTTCTTTGAAATAGGTTTTTAAAATATCACATCAAACTGATTTCATTACAAAAGCAGTAAAAGCTAAATTAAAATTTTTTTTTTTTTCCAGATGCCTGTAATTACAGTTAATTTGATCGGGTCTGGTCGGGCTCAGAAAAAGTTTATCGTTTGAAAAAGCAGTCTTCAACTGCATTTTGGTTAAAAAATAAAACTCTGTCTTCATTGCACATTTTGTGATTTTTTTTTTTTTTTAGCAAAATCTTTAGGTAAAATCTGTGCAAAGATAATTTCTTTGCTGCAAATGAAGTTGCAAATACAAACACGTTACTTCACATAATTACCCCGTTTTAGTTCATTTCATCTTTTCTTTCTTTCGTTCTTATTTAATGCAGGGCTAAGAGCAAACTTCAGTCCTTGCCAGTAATTTATGCTCGACGCGGAGGACAACGGGCTCCGATTGTCTCGTAGGAGAGCTGAAAATGTCCAACCACAAGACTGATTTCCTTTACATGATAAAACTACTCAAAATGCAGAAAGTTTAGCGTCTTTAAGTGATTGTTCACCACTTGACAGCAAAAAGGGCAGCAGCGTGACCTTACAGACAAATATCCCCAATCCCTCGGTGTAAATGCAGAAGTGATGCTCGGAGATTCATGACTAATGAAAGCAGACGTCCACCTGCAGAATTTTAACCAGCCTGTTTAAAATTCAAAGCAGTTAAATCCCAGTTTTAGGCTTCAGCTTCCTAATTATCCACAGAAATTACTCTTGATTTGACTCGTTATTTTACAGCAGCTTGCAGAAGATGAAGTGCTGAGTCATCAATTATTTCCTGTTCACCCAGTAAACAGGAAAACGTGTAATTTAACCGTGTGTACTTTAAGATGCAATTACAGCAGAGCAGCAGGTGAGCTGTTTTCCTGCAGAGAGTTAGTGATTAGTTCAGTAACTGCAGTGCACATGACTACGTGTGGTTCTGTTCTGAAGGGTTTACCATAAGAAAACTGCACTTTACCGAATTAACAAATCACTGTTTAAACTTTCAGCCACATATAAGGAGTATATTTTATATTTAACAAAAGATAAACTTCCCATCGCAATTTTTGACTCTGCAGCTTTTAAAAGACAAAATCAAAATGTGCAGCTCGATCAGTAATGGTGTGCTACGGGTTTTATTGGCGGTTTATACGATATATGTAAACTAAGTTTGAAAAATAGAATGACCAGACCTGTTTAGCTCAGGTAAACATCTCAGTAGAAACGCCATTTGAAGTTTAAGTGGGTCGCAAAAAGTTGGACTTCCCATGTGTGAACTGGCATTTTGGTATCTTTAAGTGCTTTTGCACCATCGCAGTTTGTTCTCAGAATGCTTAGCATACGATGTGATCATTTTTAAACCCGGCGGGGGCGGGACGGCCCCCAGAAACCATCTTATCTCCAGCAAACTGGTTGGTCCACTTAAGGAGTTTACTGCTTGGTGGGGAAGCTGTTTACTTGGAACTCCTCAGACTGATGAAGCCCTCTGGATAGAGGGTGAAACCATCCATCCATCCATTATCTTTACCCGCTTATTCCATTTTGGGTCACGGGGGTCGCTGGTGCCCATGTCCAGCAATCACTGTGCGAGGGGCGGGGTACACCCTGGACGGGTCGCAAGTCCTAGAGGGTGAAACATCTCTACAAAAAAAAAAAAAAAAAGCAACTGTCCAGATGAGCTGACTGAGCATTACTGGATCAAGTGAACAGACTTGAGTGAACAGGATTTATTATCGTTTGCTCTGATTTCTCACAAAAATGCACCCTAGTCAGGGAGTGACAGACACGGCTGTGTGGTTACCATGGTGACCCTAACGATCCACTAGCAGCAGCTTGAACATTTTTGATTTTGCTTCTTTCTGTGCACTTTTTTCATCCGAACATTGGCGTTTTGTCATCTTGGATTAACATAAAATGTAATCTCAATTTATTTTTAGGTTCTGGAGAAGAAAGCTGACAGATGTTGAGTTTCAGGCTGAAACCAGAATATTTTATGTGCATTTAGTTTTTTACTTGTTGGACCAACCAGGGATTGAAAAAAAAAAATCTTATAAGCCTTTGTTTGTGTTTTCTGTACAAATAATTGCTTTCCTCTGTTTCAGGCCGAGGCGTGTAAATCCATCGAGTACGCCATGAAGAAATGCCCCAACGGGATGTACTCGGAGATAAAGTATGACGGCGAGCGCGTGCAGGTCCACAAGAGCGGAAACACGTTCAGCTACTTCAGCCGCAGCCTCAAGCCGGTTCTGCCTCACAAAGTCAGTCTTCGCCCCGCACGCTCGCCGACACAAACGCACAGACTCGCAACTCCTAAAATACGAATTGATGAATGTGACGGTCCATATCGGAGCTGAAGGCCCGTCCCTGCAGGGTTGGGAACCTCAAAGATTTGCTCACAGCATGAAAGAGCAGGAGGGACGGCCTCGTGCTCATTAGCCTTCTGTCCACTAGATGTAGCTGAAGTGGAGCACATCACTGCATGTGGTGAACAAAAAGCAGGAAAGAGCCATTTTTGTCTAAGCTGCCTTTTCTGCTCCTTGTGGCATCTTTGGACAAGTTTTAACCTCTACACCTTTCATTCAACCTTTATTTATACAGATGAATCACAATGAGCCTCAAAGACTCATTTACAAGTGAGACCTGTTCCTGTACACTGTGACGGTTTCTGATTTCTTGCTTCATGCAAACACCTTACCATTACATCCCACCAGCTAACTGCTGTAGTACGGCCCCTCGACCACTGTAATTATCCAGTTTACGTTAATGGAAGGTTAGTGTTGTGTGTGTGTGTGTGTGTGGGAGAATAGGGTGTAATTACAATGTTTCAAGCTTACCGTTTTCTAATTCCTATCCAAGACTGAAGGCTGAACATCCCTTGAAGAAATGCTTGTCGCCCGCCGCCTTTCATGCCAGAGTTTTAGACTAAGATCGTCTTACGCAGAGAAATGATGCAGGTTTAGCTGTTTTGGTCAAATCTTGTGGATGTTGTTCAGAATACGTGGTGAGGATGAAGTTTTTACATAATCTCTCAAACTGACTGAGTTGAAGTCATTTTTGTGTTGGTTAAAGTTGATCAGCTGTGGCGGCCATCTTAAATTCATTACACAGTAGTCCCTCGTTTATCGCGGGGGATCTGTTCCCATGAAGCTCCTCGATAAGTGAAAAACCGTGAAGTAGGAATAGTAGCACAAGTAGTTTATTTTAGTATTTTTTTAGTATTTATTGTGTTTTAAACTGAGTGTGCTTGGCTTTGTAGCATTGTTTTTATGCTCTCTTATCTTTTTAACTGATGTTCAGCACTTTGTTTCAGCTGTGGCTGTGTTGAAGCGCTTTATAAATAAGTTGTTGATGAGTATTTTTATAAATATATATTAAGGCGTTTTAAACCCTTCCCACACTCGTGCAATATTCTAAACAACGTTTCTAAACGCTCTAAAAGAGCACAGAACGTCATGATTTCAGCTCTGCCTCGTCTGCCACCTTCAAGCGCTCTTGGCCACGCCCACTTCCCCTCTCTGCACGGAGAACAGCTGATCAGCTGCAGCAGGAAGTTAATCCTGCAGTGTGGGCTGCACACAGGTGCAGGAGGTGCTAAATAATTTTAAATAATTCATTTAAAATAAAATTCCTATGCCGATCGTGCAGCTCATCCATCAATCAGCCAAATGTGTGTCACGTCCACTCTTATTTTGAAAAACCGCGATAGAGCGAGTCCGCGATAAACGAACTGCGAAGTAGCGACGGACTACTGTACTCCCAAGTGTTATTTGGGGGAGTTTATGCTAACAGATGATGCTAAAGTTTTTAAGATGTGAAATGTTTAGCTGTGATTCACTCCCAGCTGCTCTTTAGCTCCTTGTCTGGAAATTGAATTGAAACTGAGTGTTGGCTGTTTTTGTGTTCTGATGTTGCTTTGCAGCTGCGACCGTCTTGACTGGGACTGAGTGTCCTGACCCTGCGTGTCGGTGTTTACAGGTGGCTCATTTCAAAGAGTACATCCCTCAGGCCTTTCCTGGTGGCCACAGTATGATTCTGGATGCTGAGGTCCTTCTGATCGACACCAACACCAGCAAACCGCTGCCGTTTGGGACCCTGGGTGTCCACAAGGTGACTACACCTCATTTTACACTCGGTTATCTGCGTTTTTTTGTAACCACTTCCACTTCAAAGTGTTCTCTTCCACCCCCTTCTCTCAGAAAGCAGCCTTTCAAGATGCCAACGTGTGTCTTTTTGTGTTCGACTGCATCTACTTCAACGGCGTGAGTCTGATGGAAAGGTAATGTTTTCATTTCGCCCTTTAACATGAAACGCTGAGAACAAAAGAAAAAGATATATTTGAGAGTGATGCAAGCCGAGACGTTAATGAAACTTTAAACGCTTCTCGGCTGAGCTCTGTTTATTTAGAAACGGTCTTAATTTCTTCACGTTTGCTTTTCCTCGTGGGTTTTGTTGGTTTGAACCCGTTAGAAGAAGCTTCAGTGCTGGTGAGCGTCTGAAGGGGCGGCTCTTTTGAAGCCTAGATAAAAGAGTTTGAGGACGAGTTTTCTGTATCTACCTCTTTTTAAGTTCACATTCATTTAAGCAACAACCCAAAAGGTGCTTTTGTGCTTTTCTTTTACTCTGCATGCAAAATAACGGTGTAGATCCTCAAAAAAGAATGATTTAGGTTAATTTAACTTTTCTTGAAAGAGTTAATGGGTGTAAATTTTTTAATTTTAATCATTTTTTTACACGATATGTCAAACTCACCACCTCTTTATTTTCCTTCTTAAACATTTCCTGTAGCAGTTCATTCTCGAACCGTGACCTTCCACAGAGCGGGCGCCGCAGGAGGAACTTCAGTTTTCTTAAATCTGAAACATTTTGCATCCTACACGCTCTCTTCTTCTTCTTCTTGTTCTTCTTCTTCTTGTTCTTCTTCTTGTTCTTCTTCTTCTTGTTCTTTCGGCTTTTCCCTCTTCAGGGGTCGCCACAGCGAGTCATCCTCCTCCACCTCACTTTGCATCCTCTGCATCCTCTGTCCTCACTCCAACTACCTCCATGTCCTCTCTAACTGCATCCATATATCTCCTCTTTGTCTTTTCTAACATCCTTCTACCAGTATACCCACCGTCCCTCCTCTGGACATGTCCAAACCATCTCAGTGTGTCCTCTCTAACTTTATCTCCCAGTTGTTCAACCTGTGCTGTACCTCTGATGATCTTCTCATTTTTATCCACCCTTGTCTCTCCTAAGGAGAACCTTAGCATCTTCATTTCTGCCACTTCCAGTTCTGTCTCCTGTCTTTTTGTCCATGTCTCTGTCTCCAGACCATACAACATAACTGGTCTCACCACTGTCTTGTAAACTTTTCCTTTGACCTTTGCTGACACCTTTTGATCACAAATCACTCCTGAAACTTTTCTCCATCCACTCCATCCTGCCTGGACTCTCTTCTTCACCTCTTTACCCCATTTTCCCCATTTTCCTGGACAGTGGACCCCAAGTCCTTGAAGTCCTGCACCTTTGTGACCTCTGCTCCTTGTAGCCTCACTGTTCCACCTCCCTCTCATTCACACATGTACTCTGTTTTACTACGGCTGACTTTCATTCCTCTTCTTTCAAGTGCATACCTCCACCTCTCCAAGTTCTCTTCCACCTGTTCCCTGTTCTCACCACAGATCACAATGTCATCTGCAAACGTCATAGTCCACAGGGATTCCTGCCTGACCTCATCAGTTAGTCGGTCCATCACCAGAGCAAACAAGAAGGGGCTCAGAGCCGATCCTTGATGCACTCCCACCTCCACCTACACGCTGATTAATAAAGTCACTCGTATAAGTCTGCTCATGCTCACCCTTTTCCTGCAGGCCTCTGAGTGAACGAAGAAAGTTCCTGGATGACAACATGGTGGAAGTTCCCAACAGGATCCTGTTCTCAGAAATGAAATTTGTCACGGTATGTGTGAGCTCAGATTCTGTTCTGTGTATTTTAAATACCTACATGTAGGCCTGTCATGATAACAAAATTTTCTGGACAATTAATTATCTCAGGAATTATTGCGATAAACGATAATATTGTTTGAAATTTGACAATAATTAGTCATTATTGTCAAATTTAAGAAGAAATGTTTAATTTGTTTTGAGTGTAGTACCTTTTTTTTGACCAGTATATTGGCAGTATAAGACTGTTTGAACCAAAGGATGGATAGTGAGGGAATGAGCAGCGTGTCTCTTAAGAAAAATGAGAGGGAGGCCCCTTGACATGACATGGGCTGTCTCTCTTCGGTTCTCAAAATGGCGGACACTCAGTGTGGTTTGAGCTCTTTAGCATAGCATTTTTCACACAAAGCTTTTAATAAAAAAATCAGTAAACAAGTTCTCAGCTTCATTTTGTAGAGAAAAACAACTTTTTACACAAGCGCAGGTTTCAACTGTGAATTTTGGAGCTTTGACGAGACGGAGGTTTTTTCCCCGAGGTCGATCTGTTAGCTTAGCTCTTAGCTTAGCTTCTTTTAACAATCCAGTTACACACTTTTGGATGGTTTAAAATGGATTTTAAAGATAAAGGGAGGGGTCAGTGAAGAACATCGGAGTTGAGCCATTTGTCATCGAGTGTCTTCAGTAGAAAGAGAGAGACATGAAGAAACGATAAAGCCGATAAATGAAAATTATCAACCTCATTTTCATTTATCATGCAATTAATTGATTTATAGTTTATCGCTACAGGCCTACCTACATACATATATTGTGTGTGTGTGTGTGTGTGTACCAGAGGGCAGCAGATCTGGCGGACATGATAACTCGTGTCATCAGAGAAGGACTTGAAGGCCTGGTGCTGAAAGACAGAAAGGTCAGTATTTGTCTTTGTTTATGTCTGTAGTGGAAGTTGTGTGTTTAAAAGTGATGAAAAGTGTGTGTGTGTCAGGGCACCTACGAGCCGGGGAAACGCCACTGGCTGAAAGTAAAGAAGGATTATTTAAACGAAGGGGCGATGGCGGACACAGCTGACCTGGTGGTGCTGGGAGCGTTCTACGGGAAAGGCTCAAACGGTTCGTGAAACTTCCATCAGCAGCTAAAGTCGTCTTTCAGTAGAGACGATCGAAGCTTTAACGGACGGTTTTAATTTTTGTAAAGCTCTGACCTGATTTCATACTGAGAACTAGAACCAACAGCATACAAAATATTATTTTCCGAATTTTCAGATAAAATGAAAATCTATTATATTTTATTCGTGATGTTTACAGTTGAAAATCTTTCTTTTTATGACACTTGAAGTCCGTGTTGTGACTGACTCTCAGCTACTACCAACAAACTGCAGCGCATCATCTATAAGACTGAATCGTAGGAAGTTTTTATGGTCAGTCGGTTGTGGCAGCCTTCTTAAATCAGTTGATCTTTCTGGAAGCTTCAGACAAGTTCAAGTGGTTCGTGAATTATTTTTCTAACGGACAACAATTCTTTGACTTTCAGCTGCGGGTGATAATCAGAACAACTTCTTTATAGACTAGCGTGTTGGTCATTGACACTTCGCTCACCTCAAAACATCATCTATCATTGTTTTCACTAGGCATATACTTAAAAGTAGATGAAACAAAGTTCAACATGATGTTTATATATATGTTTATATATATATATATATATATATATATATATATATATATATAACTGTATATGTTGTTAAACAATGGTTTTTTTTTTTTTGAGAGGTTGGGAATTTCAGAATACAGAAAATTCTAAAGAAACAGTGAAGGTGATGTACTGGTAATTGGAAAAGGTCAAAATGTAATTAATACCAACATACAGCTTGATAATTACAAAATGTGAAGTGTTTATTCTTTTATTTACTTTTGTTACCCACTTTGGGATGTAACCACGTCTCTCACAAGAAGCTGGACCTAAGTTTGTCCCTTGTTTTGGTGGTACCTACCTACCTGGACCTTGAATGTGAAGTAAATGTTAAATAGACTGTATTTATATAGCACCTTTCTATCTTATCAAGATACTCGATGCTCTTTACAACAGTCTGTGCTCTCAATTACCCATTCGTACAGCTCTGTACTAGATCTGTACAAATAATAATCAGAGATTTATCACATTCAAACACCGATGGGACACAGATCGGAGGCAATGAGGGGTTCAGCGTCTTGCCCAGGGACACTTCAGCATGTGACTGCAGGTGGAAATGAACCCCCAACTCTCACATTGGAGGACGACTGCTCTAACCACTCAGTCACAGCTGCCCTGGAGTGGTAGTAGCTGAGAGTCATCCCTGGCACGTGCTCTGAGACGCGATGTCTTTGACTAAAACTTTGTCACAGAAGGAGATCACCAGTCAGGTTGACCAGCTGATGATCAGCGCAGCTCTGTCTGTTGTCCTCCTTTTCTTTATCATGTCACGTTTTTTGGGGGGGAGGCTGAAAACGAGATGTAAAACTAAAATATGTTGGGAGTTTGTTGCACTCATAGAGCAGCGTAAAAAATGAGCAACACAGTTACTTTGGGAATAAATCAGGAGCTTGGAGCCAGTCATGTGAAAAGTATGCAGATGGAGCATATTGCATGAGAAGATGCCGGTGGGCAAATCACGGAGGCAGACAAAATACGGGGGTTGTTTAGGAGGCAGGGTAATGAGTGTAAAATATAAAGGAACAATTAACGCCACAGCAACGGCTCGGTTCTCAAAGGAGAGCTAATAAAGCAGCTCATGTAGTTAAAAAGGTGCTAAAGCAGAAATAACAAATCGGATGTAGGACGCAGAAAACAGCAGGTGGCAGATGATGAGGTTCATTCTGTGAGGGTGAGAATGTTCCACTTCATCTTTTCTGGGTTTTCTACCCACCAGGAGGCATCATGTCCAGTTTCCTCATGGGCTGCTACGACCCAGACACCAAGAAGTGGTGCACAGTCACCAAGTGCTCCGGAGGCTACGATGACGCCATGTTGGCCCGGCTCCAGAAGGAGCTGGACGTGATCAAAATCAGCAAGGTCAGGGAGGATCCAGTTAAAGAAACACTGAGCTGATGCTTCAAATATTATTCTCATTATGTGTCTTTGTTTAGGACCCAAGCAAAATCCCCGGCTGGCTGAAAATCATCAAGAACTATTATCCAGACTTTATTATCCGCCACCCAGAGGTGAGGTTTGACTGCTCGTCCCTGTGGGCCCGTCCGCGCAGAGCTGGACTGCATGCAGATGCAGGAAAATGTGTTTACAGAGAAGGTCACTGAATTAACTTGAAACTGGTAAAAATATATTTTTTTAAGTCAACAAATGTGTTCCTTTTGAAATTTAATTCACCAAAAAAAAAGATGGTACTCTTAAAACTACAGTGACCACGGGGACACATCAAACTATGGTGTGTCCAACAGGTGTCTTCATTCCATTAGTCTGCCTGTTTAAAAGGTGACAGGTAGTCACAGGGCTGTTTGGTGTTGTGGTGTGTAACACACTGAACATGGAGGACAGGAAGCTGAGGACAGAGTTGTCTCAGGAGTTCAGACAGACGATGATTGAGCAGCATCTTCAAGGTAAAAGCTATAAAACCATCTCCGAGCTGCTCAGATGATTCAATTCAGTTTATTTATAAAGCGCCAAATCACAACAAAGTTGTCTCAGGGCACTTTACAGGAACATTCACATAAAAGACAATTAGTAAAGTTCTCTATCTAAGGAATCCAGCAGACAAGATGAATCTTGGCTTCGTCGCAGTCTCCCATCCTGAGCAAGCACAGTGGCAACAGTGGAAAGGAACAACTCCCTTTTAAAGGAAGAGGTGAACTCCAAGGTCAAAGGTCATCAGTGTCTGATCACGCCATCAGACAAAGTGGACTTTATAGAAGACGTCCGTGGAGGACAACAAGTGATGAGACGGAGAGACTGGAGTTCGTGGAGAAGACCGAAACCTTCTGGGAGACAAAACTGGAGCTTTTTGGACACGAGTCCCGTCAGCTCTGTGTCCACAGACCCCAAACTGAAACAAGGACCAGAACACGGTACCTACAGCGGAACATGGAGGAGGCTCGGTTCTGTTCTGGGGACGCTGTACAGGGAACAAGGAAACCTCAAGACTATCCAGATGTTCTGGAGACAAACGTCAAAAAGCTCTGTCTCAGGGACGATCCTGGGTCCATCAGCAGGTGATGACCCAGAACAGCTTAAAAAAAAACCCAAGAAGGGCTCAGAACCAAATCTGGACTGTTCTGAAGTGACCCTCTGAGTCCTGGTCTAAATCCTGTTCAACATCTGTGGAAGAAGCTGAAACATCTGCAGAAGGAACCCTTCAAACCTGAGACATCTGGAGCAGTTTGCTCATGAGTGGACCAGAACTCCTGTGGACAGTTGGACCAAAACTCCTGTGGACAGTTGGACCAAAACTCCTGTGGACAGTTGGACCAAAACTCCCGTGGACAGTTGGACCAAAACTCCCGTGGACAGGTGGGCCAGAACTCCCGTGGACAGTTGGAACCAGAACTCCCGTGGACATTTGGAACCAGAACTCCCGTGGACAGTTGGAACCAGAACTCCCGTGGACAGGTGGGACCAGAACTCCCGTGGACAGGTGGGACCAGAACTCCCGTGGACAGTTGGAACCAGAACTCCCGTGGACAGGT